TATCGCTCAACAAGACGGGTATGTTACCCAACAATAGAATAGTTTATGTTCGGTGCAATATTCTATGACAAAGCTACTTGACTGTGAGAAGTAAACCAAAAAATCTCTTCTAGGTTTAAAAAATGATATTGTTTTTTAACTATCCGCCCTCGAAAGCAATGATTAAACTATACTCGCTGATGCTTTTGTTCACTTTCGCTTGACCATATCGGCTGAAAAGCTTTGTAGTTTACGTAATCAAAAACATTAAAAGATCATAAAATCTCAATAGCGCATTTGTCATTCAGTCTTTTCCCGTCAGAAAAAGTCGGTTTTGGATAATGGTATTACGTGTGGTCATTAAGGCTATATGAGCTGCCTGAGTGTAACCATAAAATGTGAGAATTAAAGGCATTTTTTGGCCACCGTGGTGTGTTTGCCAAAGAAATTGTTGTTGATCCAGCGCAAAGCAAATTACGTATCACTGAGTCAGGTAAAAAACGGGAATCAGCAAAATTCCTGCCAAGCAGGTGGAAAGTCTATCTAGTTTTACTTGTCGACTGAGAAGAAGGTCTACCAAAACAACAAAATAGCAGTTCAGATATTGATGTGTTTGTTAGCGCTCTACTACTTACGTAGCTATAAACGATCAGCTACTTCATCTAGTTTCCAGTTAACCTCTTAAAGTTACAGCTGGGTTGCCTAATAACTTGCGGTTACAAAATATTTTCTTTTCTTTCAGAATTATTCCTAATGCAGTTGTGATAACTAAACAACATTGTGGTACATCATGCTCTTAAGGGTGGTCTTGTAAATAGATTACGACTGTTGTTGAGTTTTTTTACAGAAAAAAGTACACTCTTTTAATAAACGCGTAACGACCGTACCGTACTTGACCAATTATAGCAAGGTGAATAAATTAAATCTAACAAGCAAACCTAAGCAAAAAATAATTCTGGGATATACCTATTCTGGTATTCCTCTTTTCAAGGACAAATTTGAATAAAGACCTTCAGCTGCATGGCTAAGTACAGCTTAGTGCATACTGATGCTACCTAGGCAGCGTTTTCGCCTACGGAAGAAAACAGTATTGGCATTAAGGTGCTCCACAAATTGTATAAATGGTATACTACTGCGCTCGTGTTGGCTGTCCTTGTTGTTTTATTTAATTTACTCAAAGTGTTCTTTCTCGATGATCACACGGTAGAAGAGGATTATGCTAGGCCGTATTAGAAACTTACCGTCCCAATACATTATACATTTCTTATCACAAAGGTATAAGAACTCTTAAGTTCTTAAAAAATAGAGTGACTGCATTAAGCAAATAAATTTGCCGGACAAAATACAACATAAAACATCTACTGAATTTGTCACTGTAGTCTTGTTTGGTGCAACCAACCTTCGACAAAACTTTGCACCGCATCTACCTTTTAGATCAACAGCTCACTCTGCACCGTTTGTTGAAGTAACTTTTCGGTAAATGCCTTTCTGGTTATAATGTTACGTTTCTTTTCCTTAACGTCAAAGAAATAGAAAACGTTTTGTGACCTTAATACAATAACAAGACGGTAATCATTGCACACGAAACGTTGATCCTTATCAGAGAAGCATTTTATTTACCCTCATCGTTACCACTGGTGTGATGGTGCTGTGACAAACTGGGTTTCTGCAGTAGCTCGAGGACCAGAAGTTTGGCTGTCAGCTTACGCATGTGCGGCTTTAAAAATATAAACATGTACTCAGGAAAAGCGTACACTAGGACCATGATGCGCGTTTCGCTGTTTTATGGTTTGTAACGTTGGCAGAATATATAGTGTATCCTTAGTTTTAAAAGCACCTGTTATTTTAAAAGGCTGCTGGAATAATTTCTGACTAAATAATACTCAATAAAATATGGTAATATACTCGCATGTTACATAAAAACCCAACTAAGTCAATGACCAGTTTTCACCTCATAACTAGCAACGTTTTGGTTCTAAAAGGTCATTGATTTCTGATTAAAGGCAAGCATTTTAGACGGTACTTGTAAAGAATTGGAGCATTCAGAAATTTGTGACATTGCTTGAAGTTGAGGAAATCGTTTTAGCCACTGAATGATGCGTGACCTAGCTTTCAACCAGTTAGGTAGCGTGGATAGAATCAGCTTATGTGTGTGAAGTGCCAACAGTTAAAATCAATTAACTGCTACAATAAGCTTATGAGATTTTGTGAATTTGATGCTTACACGTCTTTACACAAATGTTGACATTCGTAGGAATCATATCAATAAACTATAGGATATACATATAGGATAAGAGTTGAATTTCAAACTGAAATTAATTTAATTATTGAGGTTCAATAGATTAAATCAGATTTCCCTTGAGAACCTTTTACGCACCAACGGTGTGAATAGTATTTTGGCCAAACGGTTGTAAAACTTAGTAAACCGAGTTTGAAAGGGTTCTTTTCAAGATTTAATTGAATTTGGTTGTCTGCTATACCATTTGTATATTTGTCACACTTAGCCTTGTATTTTTGGATGTAAACGAATGCAGATAAAAAATGAAATAGGCACTGATCTAACTTAACTAGCTCCCGTTGTCATCAAGAAAACCGCCAAAACATCTCAGTAAAAAACCTGAGCTTAGTCCAACGCAATGATGCCGTAAAAAATAATATAAAACATCTGTTCCGGTGATATTTTAAAAGTTTCTACTATCACCGTTACCCAGAAAATACAAAATCACTGCCTAGCCTTACTGGCATACCTGACAAATCAATTAGAAAGGAGTAATTTAAACAAGATTAAACACATTTTTTCATTGCAAGAAGCTGTTGTAAACAAGGTGCTTCTATCTTTTATTGCAAAAAAGCTGGCAAAACTAAGCGCAGTGTTAAAGTAAAATTCTGTAAGGTGAATCACTTTGGCATGCTACTGGACCTAGCTGATGTCAAGCAGTTTTTGCAAGTATGAACAAGCATGCATCTGGCCGTCTGACTAAGAATCAGAATTGTGTAACATTTTGTAACTCCTCAGTTGGGCTATTAATGCTAATTCACAAAAACTAGCACGGCAGCACAATATAAATTCCCACCTGACCATAGAAGCGATAGTTCGTAGGTGAAACCCTTTGTCCTGACATTTTGTGTTAGTCCGATTGCTGATAATTGGTTAGGTCATTCGTATTATCAATCAAAAAGGAGCAATATGATCAACGTTTCTGATAAATATTTACTATAATTTCGATTATCCGAAAGAATTCACCAAAACTGCACTCGATCACTCAGAGTACACTTGTTAACAATGTCCTTAACAAGCGAGTGATCTCGGACCAGTAGGAAAATATGGATCCAAAATCAGTGCTTTTCCAAATGAAATGTAGTTGTTGCAGATCAGAAAATGTAAAACAACTCAGGGAAAATAGGACAATTTTTCCCAATTTAGACTACATAAAGCTTAGTACCGGAGGAGTTATTACCAACTCACCGATAACAAATCAAGCGATGAGCAAAGATTTATACAAACTTAGAAACAAAAGTTGCTGAATATTCTGAACAACCGGGTAAAAAGCAAACAAGTATGTAGACTAAGGTTAAAAGCTACCTGAAGCAACTCTACATATCTGAAAACGATAAAGCACAATTGATAAATTGAACTTATTATATTGAACCACGACAAGTCTCAAGTGTCATTCTTTAGGAACTTGGTTATATGCAGTCTTTGGCTTACAAAAACTGTAGAAAAAATGGAAGTACAGGAAGTATAAAATATTATGAAGCTATTTAACGCTCGTTTTCTGTCGGTTAAACTTTAATAGGTATTTATCAACGGGGTGGGGGAAATTTTGCTTGCAAGCCGAATCCTGTATGCTAAGATAGAGGTTGGTGTGGCTTCTTCCGCAAAAATTAGGTTCCTTATTAGCTGATTTCCCCAGTGACTAAATCTATAGAACCACTTTTTCACCGCAGCTAGCAACGTCACATATGGGTTGCATTTTTAGAGTCTCGCCTTGTATTTACTCATCTTTTACACCACCTACCGCCTGTAATTCGTAGCTATCTACTTCACCTCCCCAAATTGTTGGCCGCCAGCAGTAGCATCTGCAAGGCAAGCGCGCCATTTTTACTGCTACTTGTTGCCATTATTATTCTTGTTATTATTGTTTTCTTATCACTGCTTCCGGGTGGGTATGGAATTTTATAACCCATGTCAGACAATGGACGGGTTGCTATGGCTAGAAGACATCTTAGTTTTGTAAAATGTGACGGAGCTACGAACGCGCGATCCGGCTGGAAAACAAAGAATGAGGCCGACAGAAATACTTTGATAACAAGCGGGACAATTATGAAATGACTCGCCCATTATTTATAGATCTGGGCTGAGTTTTTCTGGGAGTGAGGCATGTCATTTGGAGGCTAGGTTGCCTAACGACTGATGCAAGCTTTTTTCCGAAAATCGAAATTCTGTCGAGTTAAATGTATTTCTTTGTGCCGTTTCTCATCAGATTGATGCTGCTTTTTGTCAACCTGGAGGTTGTGCTGTTTAATGAGATGGTTATGCAACATTATCCCTTATCGCAAACCTCCGTTTTTGAGATTTCTTCAGATTTCCCTGATGTTTCTTAAAATATGTGAAGGTACCAAGGTTTATTATGTAATCTAGGATCATCTTTCTCTGTCATTTTGCATCATGACTGAAAAAACTTCCCAGACAGTATTATAGCTCTCCTTTCACACACAGAATGCTGGCGTTTTGCGGTAACATCCCTTGTTTTGAGCCATAGAAAGAATAGCGTTCCACTTTTTCCTCCGGGAATTTTTGACTTTGACTAAGAATTCTGTTTTTTTTCATGAACTGAGACACAAAATCGAGGCTTTCGCCCAAGATTCCCGGGTTGGTAACACACTCTAAGAATCTACGGAAAATCAGTGCCAGAGATTTTTGTTAAGATTCAACAGAATGCATCCGAAAACGTCTTCACAATCCTAATTTGATTATGTAGTCCGTTTATCATAGGTAAATATTTTATGTATGCACGTACTTGTTTTGGTATATGAAGGTCCTGATCACACATTGAATGTAGATATTTCTCCAATTTATCTGCCTCTCATCGAAGTATGGCAGTGCAGCTTTCAAAAACTCCAGGATTGATGGTTGTAAGGCTTCATTTGACTCGACCCCGTGCAAATACAACGTGCACTTTCCAAAAAGAAGATCTAAATTGGCGTGAATTGGGTTAAAAAAGAACAAACCATCTAAACATATTTCATTCCTTAAACAGACATCATCATACAAACAGCCTGTACGAAGTCAGCTGTAGAAATCACTTAATCTTACCAACAAAGCCCCCTATGAGAAATTCGTCATGCAAAGATGCACGGGGTTGTCCCGATTTTTGCAATGTTGAAACGTTTTTGTACTTGAGTGTACACAAGACAACGGGTAACAATACTGACCATAGCTTAAGGTTTGGCATCACCCTTCTCCTTCATAATTTCTGTAATTTTGAAACGGTGCTCGTTTGATATTGAACGTCCAATAAATCCTATTCGTTTAAACTTATTCAGTTTGGACATTTAGGCTTGGATTTGATTTCCGGGTTGAATATTACTCAACGGCTGACTGTGAACAGGGTCGCAGGAACAGCACAGCCCTGCTGAACTAGCACAGGAATTTCGCTCATGTGTCCTACCTTACGCAGGTT